TCGGGGAAGGAGGCGATTTCCCATCTCTACTCCCTTGACTTTGGAGTGGACCAGTGTCTCTTGCCCCCATTCCCTGTGCTTGGGCATTGTAGTGGGCAGCAGGGCAGGAATCTGGCCCAATGACCAAGTGATAAATATTTAGTACTGACTTACTGTGTGCCAGGCCCTTGCTAAGCACTGGATGTACAAAGAAAGGCAAAAGCACCCTCCTTACCCTCAAGGAGCTTACATCCTAAGGGGAAGCGAGTGTGTATGAATAACCATCTATGAGATGCGGGCATTTGGACCTGTGGGAGGGGTTTCTCCAGCTTGGCCCAGTGCAGTGCAGACCAGGAGGGATGGCTGGGGGTATGGAGCCTTCTGAGAAGCAGGTGGAAGGGAGATGGGGTACAGTGGGGACAGGGGTGCCTGGGATCGGGTGATGATGGCACCGATTTAATGAGATGGAGGGAAGGTGTGGTGTGGCTGGCTGGTGGCTCTGAGCCCCTTGGGATGGTCATGGAACACAGAGCAGAAGGGCCAAAGAATGGTGGGCTCATGCCCTTCCCTGGGCTGGGAGGCCCAGCTCCTGGGGTGCTATCACGTAGCTCCAAAGAAGGCTGGGCCTGGGCGATCCATGTGGCAAACTCCCTCCAGCATCAAGGAGGGCAACTAGCTGCCTGGGGCCTCTCTCCAGGTCCCTGGGCAGAACAGAGAGGCGGTGTGGTCCAGTGGCGAGATCCCTGGCTCTGGAGTGAGAGAGCCGGGGTTCAAATCTTACCTTTGATGCTTGCTACCTGTGTGACCTTGGGTAAATCATTTCATGTGCCTGGGCCTCAGTTTCCTTCTCTGTAAAATCAATGATTGATCGGAAAAATAAGGACTTCCTTATTGGAAGTCTCTGGGATTTCTTTCATCTCTCGAGCTGTAGGAGTGAATGGCCTGTCAGCCGGGGGGAGGGGACAGACTAGCTGCAGGATGGGCTGAACGAATCCGTTCTACTCAGGCTAAACTGAGGGCTCTGGGTCTTGGACTGAGGATCTTGCTGACGGCTGAGATACACATAGCCAGCTCTATGCAGCGAGAGGCAGCTGGCACCCAAGTGCCTAGCTTGGGGAGGACCCTGGTCTGGGTCTGAGTTGGCACCTCCATGCTTCCTGGTGCTTGGCGGGAGCAGGCTGAGCCCCCTGTATGTCACAGGTAGGGGGCTGCCTCCCACATCACCATGACCCGGTGCAGTGGGATAAAGGTCTTGTGCTATTGTGTGGCAGCGTCCCTTTTGGAGATAGTAGCTGGGACTCTCTTACTGCCCTCCGGCTGTCTGAAGAGCTTGTCCCCAGCTTCCTTTGTTGGCACTGCCCAGTGATGGTCTTGTGGAAGTAGGTTGGATCTCATTGGCCTCCAAGGTCTCGTCCAGCTTTGACCTTTTCTCATCCTATGACCTTTCACTTTTGCCCCCTCCTATGCTTCGGTGGTGGCATGCAGGCACTTCTATGCCTGCCTGGCGCCAGATAGAGGGTATGTGCCCATCCTCTGCTCATATTTTCACCCCTCCTTTTCCCTTCTCTCCTTCATTCTTTTGCTGCTGTCAGCTGGACACTGAGGCCGTCTCCACCGCCCAGAACCAGGTAGGGTGCCCCTGCCCTCAGGAACCCTCTGCTTCCACTGACCGACCGATGCCCCTGGTCTGCGCCTGGGCTGGTGTCTGTGCTCGGGCCTCATGCTGGAGTGTAAGGCCACGTGCCCCTGTCCACGTTCCCCCCTCTTTCCCTCTGTACCACCCAGAAGGGTGAATGACCTCTCTGGCCTGCACCCTGGACTGCGGGTCTCCACAAGTGGACCTTACATAGCGGTGAAGCCCCCTGAGATAGGATCTGGCTATGATGGCATCATGGGGAGGGGGGCAGAGGGATGCCATCTGAGCACATGAGGGCGACTCTGGCTGGTTGCCCTGTGTGTGACATGTCTGCCTGGCCAGTCTTCAAGGCTGGAGTTGGGACTGCAGGTTTATTTTCTTCTGGAATGGGGAGAAAACTAAGATTGACTTGAGATGCCCTGGGGCCACAGGGACGCTGGGCTCCAATGAATGCAGAATGAGTGAATGGGACCATTTGCATGTACCAGCCGAGCTTAAGCATGAGGCGTTCTCTGTCCCCATCTGGTGGTCAGTATGGGGAATTGCAGCTCAGACCCAGTGTTAACTGAACTTTACTGGCCCAACCCAACCAGCAGTACCCATGATCCTTTTTCAACTTTAAACAAAATTCATCAATCCCCCTCAACAGGTGATGCTAGTTGTACTTCCACTTATCCATTGATGGAGAAATTCCATGTGGATATGAAACTACTGGAAATTCAGTAACATTTTATTTAGTCTAATAATTACAACAGTGTTTGGGGAAAATAACAGCGGGGACTATTTCTGTCTCCAGAAGGCATGTTTATTATGCCAAGTCACTCTTCATATTTTGTTGGAGCAAAATCCGATGGGTTTAAACCTGGATTCAAACCCCAACTCTGCTACATAATACATGTGTGGCCTTGGGCGAAACACGAAACCTTTCTGGGCCTCAGTTTCCTTTTCTGTGAAATGAGAAGCGTGGTCTCCATAGCCTTTGAGGGCCTTTCCAGCTCTGATTCTATGATCCTATGAGGAAAGATCAGAGTGACCTTTCTGATGATTCTTAGTGGGCATGTGGGTCCCTGGACCCCTTGTAGTAAGGAGCTCTGTAGCTGCCCCAGGAACCCTCAGCCCACAGTTTGGGGGCCACTGCTCTGAGAGGCGACGCATTACAGTTATAAATTGCCAGAGGTGCAGGGGACCTCAGAGGTCTCATCCCTGCCATTTCCTTCTCCATCTCTCATCTTTGTTGTTGTTCAGTCCTGTCTGACTCTTCAGGATCCCATTTTGGGTTTTCCTGGCAAAGATACTGGAGCAGTTTGCCATTTCCTTCTCCAGCTCATTTGATAGATGAGGAAACTGAGGCAAACAGGGTTAAGTGACTTGCCCAGGGTCTCCCAGCTATAAGTGTCTGAGGATGGATTTGAACTCATAAAGAAGAGTCTTCCTGACTCCAAGTCTGGTGCTCTGTGCACTATGGCGCCACCTCACTGCTGCCCCTTTTCTTTTTTTTTTTAGGCTAGGCAGTGGGGTTAAGTGACTTGCCCAGGGTCACACAGCTAGTAAGTGTTATGTGTCTGAGGTCGGATTTGAACTCGGGTCCTCCTGAATCCAGGGCCAGTGCGCTATCCACTGCGCCACCCAGCTGCCCCGTGCCCCTCTTCTTACAGATGAGGAAATGGAAGTTTGGTGTGGGCAGCAAGTAACTCGGCCAAAGGCACGCAGTTCATTAGTGGCAGAATTCAGAACTAGAGAGGGAGGCAGCAGATAGTTCAGTGGAAAGAGTACTGGGCCCAGGCAAGTCACTCAATCACTTTCCTCCCTCTATAACATGAGGGAGTTGGATGGTGTCTAAGGTCCTTCCAAGTCTGGAGCTGTGCTCCTCTGAGCCTGTGAATGCAGTTTGAATTTCCCCTTAACTCCCAGAAATTTGGCAGAGGGCACGCTGCCTGTCTCTGTCCCCTGCCTCCTGCCACCTCTGCCATCCCTATGACGTGTCATAACCCGGAGCATGAGATACATGCTTGGGTTTGTGGGAGGGGCAGGGATGAGGAAGGAGATTTCAGCATGGCTCTCCCCATGAGGCTGACCTAGAGACCGGAGTCCTACCCCCTTGCTCAGGTTGTGGGGACAGAAATCAGCCTGATGGGTTCTCAGCAGACACCTCCCTCCCCCTGTCATTGGCTCCGGCCCCCTGGGTAGTATCTGTTATCTACTAACCCCTGTGTTGCAAAGGGACCCACCCTAGGAAGCCCGGGGGACAGGCATAAGCCTTCTCTGCTTCTACCTTTCCTCTTTCCACACTAATGCACGGTTTGATTTTCCTCTCCCGGCTGCCTCCCCCAACCCCTGATGCACCTGCTCAAGTATATATTGCTGGGAGTGAAGGATTAACTCTTTCTTCAAACCTTTCCTTCCTTCTTCTTCGGTGGCCGGTACCCTTGGCCTCTTTGGGCCTCAACCCCTGCATTGCTGGCTCAGGTTTGGCAGCCCAAGGCCCGGCCCTGTGTGCTGGGATCTGTATCCGATTTGTTCCCATCACAGCATCTATGTGGGTTCCCTTCACTCCCTCGTGCCCATCTCAGTGCCTTGGCATGCAAGTTCTCACCTCTGTTTGATGGCAGTATGATATTCCCCCCGCTCCTGCTGTTTCTCTGGTCGTGCCTTCCCTCATACTTGGGCGTGTTGGTATGTCTGCATTTGTATCCCCCTTGGCATCTTGGTGGGAGAAGGCCCATCTGTGACTTGGGAAGTCCTGTGGGCAGCTGGCACATACACGGGGCACTCCCCTGCAGGCATTTGCCGTAAGAGCTCTGGGGAGGAAGGGGTCAAGGCCGAGAGGTGCCAGTGTCCACCTTCTGTAGGGGGGTACCTGAGGACACACATATCTCCTTGCCACGAAATGGGAGAGAACTATTCCTTTTGATGGAAGACTGATCATGGATGGCTTCCCTGCTTAGTTACTATGGCCCAGGGTGGGGAAATCACTTTTCGTTTTTTTTTTAATTGGAGCAGAGTTCTGGGGGCCGACGACCCAACAGACCGCGTAGGGAGAAGGAAATGGAGGTCAAAGGACAGTTTGGATTCTCCGTAGTCCTCACCTTGCATGGGATCTCTCCTCTCCCACGTTCCCAATATTTTTAAAGATCCTGGAGCTAGTTTGGCCGTCTCTGACCCATTCCTGGGCTCCCTCCTCCAGCCCACACTCCAGATGTCCCCAGTTCTTCTGTCTTCTTTTGTTGTGTCCCTTTCTGGTCCACCAGGACCTGCTGCATCTCCCTCCCCTCGCCCTCTCTCCATGTGCCCACCCTCCTTGTCCGACTCCTCTCCCATCTTCTCTTCCCGTGTGCTTTCAGCCCCCCAGAACCTCGGTCTGACTCTGCCCTCGCTCCCCCAACAGGCCAAGACTGAAGAGCAGATTGCTGCTGAGGAAGCCTGGCACGAGACAGAGAAGGTTTGGCTGGTCCATCAAGATGGCTTCTCTCTCGGTGAGTCTTTGGGACGAGGGGGTTGGGTTGCAGAATCAGACTGGTCCCTGGCTCTCCTGCTTTTTCTTCCTTCCTACTAATCCCTTCTTCATCTCCCACTGTCTGATTCCTCCACTCTTATTCCGGGCCAATGCTGATAAAGTCTTGAAACTCTATGGGGTTTTGTTTTTCCCCCGTTCTTGATTCACGCTCCATGAACCCTGCTGGGTCCTCAATGCTGCATGGCAGTCTGGGCGTGTGGATCGCTTCCTGACTCCCCGTGCTTTCCCCCAGCTTCCTCCTCTCTCCCTATTGCCCCACTCTCATCAGATATCATCCCTCCCCACTTTCTTAACAAAATCAAGGCTATCAGAAGGGGAGCTCATTCAGTTCCCCTCTATCTCGCTTCAAATTGAAGTTAAAACCCAAGACCCGTCCGTGCCTCTACGCCCAAAATGAGAGGAAGGGTCGGGGGACTCCTTTCTTTTTTCAAAACCAGCCAGGGTTTTCTCCTAGGTTTTTTCCCCCCTCTTTTCAGCAGCTTTCAAGCCTGCCTAGAGGCAGCCAGTGGCCAGTGGATAAAGTACTAGGCCTGGAATCAGGAAGACCTTAGTTTAGATCTAGTCTCAGACGCTTATTAGCTGTGTGACCCTGGACAAGTCACTTAACCTCTGGTTGCCTCAGTTTCCTCAACTGTAAAGTGGGGATAATAATAACACCACCTACCTTCCTTCTGGGGAAGTCGCATGATCTCCCCGGGCCTCGGTACCTTCTCTCTATAAATGAGGGAGATGGATGGCATCTAAGGTCATTACAAGTCTAGAGCTGTCTGCTCCTTTGAGCTTATCAATGCAGCTCTGGTTTTCCCTTAATTCCCAGAAATTCGGCGGAGGGCACGCCGCCTGTCTCTGTCACCTCCCTCCTGCTACCTCCTTTGCCTGCGACATGTGCCTTCACCAAGAGCATGAGAGACATCCTTGGATTCCGGGGTGGGGAGCCGGAACGGGCAAGGAGGCTTCAGGATGACTTTCCCCGTGAGACTAACCCAGAATCCTGAGGCCCACCCTCTTCCTCAGGCTGTGGGGTCAGGAATCATAGTCTGAGGAGTTCTCAGCAGACACCTCCCTCCCCTTTTATCTGCTCCATGGTTGTTGAGGATCAAATAACAAAATGTTTGTAAAGACCTCCCTCCCTCTGTCCTCCTTTCCCTCCCTCTCTCTGTCCTTTTCTCCCTCCCTCCCTCTGTCCTCTTTTCCCTCCCTCCCTCTGTCCTCCTTTCCCTCCCTCCCTCTGTCCTTTTCTCTCTCCCTCCCTCTGTCCTTTTCTCCCTCCCTCCCTCCCTCTCTCCCTCCCTTCCTCCCTTCCTCCCTTCCTCCCTTCCTTCCTTTGAAGAAGCTATGACTTCCTTCTGAACAAGACTAACCCTCTATTTATTTGTACCCTAGCTCCCATCCTTCTGACTATTAGTCAGTCAAAGTCCCTTTGCTTTTTGGGGCCTCAGTTTCCTCGTATGTAAAGGGAAGGGGTTGAATTAGATACCCTGTAAGGTCCCTTTCAGCTCTAGATCCATGATCATGAATCAAAGTCATTTCTCTTCTCTGGTCCTCAGTTTCCTCATCTGTAGAATGAGGACGTTGAACTAGTTGGCCCTCAAGGTCCCTTCCAGCTCTGAAGTTATGTTCCAACGAACCATTTTTTTTTTTTAGTGAGGCAATTGGGGTTAAGTGACTTGCCCAGGGTCACACAGCTAGTAAGTGTCAAGTGTTTGGTCTGAGGCTGGATTTGAACTCAGGTCCTCCTGACTTCAGGGCCAGTGCTCTATCCACTGCGCCACCTAGCTTCCCCCCAAGGAACCATTTTTAAGTGGCTTTTATGCAGCAGACTGTGTACTGGGTGCTAGAGATAGAAAGACAAGAATGAAACTGTTCCCTCCCTCAAAGAATTTACTATTATTATAAACTATTGGGGGAAACACCCTGAGCACATATATGCAAACTAAATACAAGATAATTTATGGGTGGTGGCAGGCATAGCTAGAGGGAATCGGGAAAGGCTTCGTGTAGGAGGTAACATTTGAGCTGAGCTCTGAAGGAACCTAGGGATTCTAAATAGCGAAGGTGAGGATCGAAGAGAATGCATCCCAAGATGGGGGACAGCCTAGGCAAAGGCATAGAGATGGGAAATGGATTGTAGGAGGCATAAAGGGAAATTCTGTATGATGACTCATTACTCAGCCCTCCTCCTTCTTGGACATTCAGGCGTGGAGGTGCAGTGCTTGGTTGAGAAAGCCAAGCCTGGAGCTTGGCGTCCTCTGTCTTTGGGGAGAGGTCTCTTTGTCCCATCAAGCTACCGATCCATTTGTCTTTTTCCCCCTTCACTGCCCAAGGTTCTTGAATGGAGCGTCCATACTGGCTGCCTCCCTCTACTGGCCTCCTGCGTTCTGGTTTCCGTCATCATTATTCTATAGAAACCACTCTCTCAGAAGTCGCTGATCACTCCCTTTCGCCAAATCTAGGTTCCTTTTGTCATCCTGCATCCTCTGTGGTCTCTGTGCAACATTTGACTCTGCCGACTCCTTTGATGTGTTTCTGTCATCCCTTGGCTTCATGACGATACACGCTCCTGGTTCTCACATCTTGCTGACGTTTACCTTTTCTTGTTTCCCGGTGTCCCTCCTTTCATCCTCCTCTTTAAAGCAGAGCTCTCCCAGGCTCTCTCCCTTTTCCCTCTTCGTGTCTCTCTCCGCACCCTCTCCTTTGGCGAGCCATCCAGTCTCAGGCTTCCTGGGCAGAGGACCCTCAGATCTGTGTCCAGCCTCAGGGCTTCCCTTAAGCTCCAGGCTTGGCTTTCTCAACCAAGCACTGCACCTCCACGCCTGAATGTCCAAGCTTAAGATGTCCAAAGCAGACACGTTAATTAATGCTTGTGGATTAACAGATTAAATCTTCAGTTTTTCATTGATAACGGTGCCCATCACATGCTTCTCTGTTGTCCTTTGGGTGAATCCCAACTGAATTCTTCTTTTTGAATATTTTGGTCATAGAATTTCAATATAATTGGTTTCTTTTGTAATCCTGTGTGCTTTGTTTTATGCTTTTAAAAACTATTCCTCTGAGAAGGTGTCCATAGGCCTCTCCAGGACTCCCAAAGAGGTTCAGGACACAAAAAAGTTACAAACTCCTGGGACTAGTCAATAGCACATTGCTTCTTTTTTATGATGATTTTAACAATCATCAACACACATGGACGTGTGACTATACAAAGAAGAAAATGCATTGTATATAAAACTATAAGCTTTGGGTATGTACAGGTTTTTTTTGTTTGTTTTTTGTTTTTTTTTAGTTTATATTAGGTCTTCCAAGTTAATAACAAAGAGAGACAGCAAGGTGTAGTAGGAAGAGAGCTGGCCTCAGAACCAGAAAGACCTGGGTTGAGTCTTGTCTTTGATACAAACTGACTCTGTGATGCTGGGCAGTTCACGTAACATCTCAGGGCCTCAGGCCCTGAGCTATTTTATATTATAGAGCTATATTATGTATTATATATTATATATTATATGCATATAATATATTATATATAATTATATATAGATAATATACTATATTATATAGAGGGCTATATTATAGCTCTAAGGCTATAAATTACAGGGGGCAGCTACGTGGTTGCTAATTGGCACAGTGGATAGAGGAATGGGCTTAGAATCAAGAAGACCTATCTTTATGAGTTCAAATCTGGCGCCAGACTCTTAGAAGCAGTGTGACCCTGGGCAAATCACTTAAGTCTGTTTGTCTTAGTTTCTTCATCTGTAAAATGAGCTCGAGAAGGAGGTGGCAAACCACTCCAGTATCTTTGCCAAGAAAACCCCAAATGGGGTCACAAAGAATCAGACGTGGCTGAAACAACCTAGCAACATAAATTACAGAGAAAGTGCAGATCTGCACCGTGATGTTCCTTGTAGCATTGAAACTGCCAATCCCTGGGAATAAAATTCCCCTCTTTGTGTATCCTTCTGAACTTCTTGGACATAAGACATTTTTTATCCACTCAGTTTTTCCTGTGTGGATGGTTGGACCAAACTTTGAATGGTTATAAATCTCCTCCAGGAGGTGCTGTAGTGTACTGGGCCTTGGTGCAGTCAGCACAAAATCCTTGGTGTATAGGAGCGTCTAAAGGACCTCACCATTTTTAGGAAACCCCTCTTCTGTTTGAGCTCTGTGTCGGGCACTCTTTAGCAAGGCCTGCTTCTCTCTAGAGTTGTCATACATAGCAGTCTCAGTTTCAGTATCTTTAAAGGAGCTGTGTATGATCTTAACATTTGCATGGGAAGCACCTTGTAGAAGAAGATCTCTCAAGGTGGCATTCAGCGCCACCAAATCAAATGTTTCTTTGTAGTCAACAGACAATTGACACAATGGGAGCTGGTATTCTCTGCATCTTTCCGTCGGTTCTGTGCCTGTCAAGATGTGTTCTCCTGCAGAATAATGTTTGTTAAGACCTCCTTTTTCAGACATGGCCAATGATGGGTTTTATGTGACTCCTTGGTTGTTACAAGCAGAGGCTTTTATTATTTTCCTGGTGGAGGAGATTTGTGAGGCTAGTGGTAGGTAGTGGTAGTGATACAAGAAAAAAGAAAAAAGAAAAAAGAGCTCATCAATGAATCATTAAAAAAATAAACCCAAGAGAACAGAAGGAAGTTCAGAAGGGGACAGAGATAAGCAGGGCAATGTTGAAACTACAATGTTAAATTAAAAATAAAAAACCAAAAAACCAAACCCAACTACAACAAGCTGTACTTAGCAGAGATTTACAGTTTCATGCACTATCTTTTTCTAATATTCTTTGTATGGTACAGTGGAAAGAATACTGCTTTGGGAGTCAGAGGACTCATTCAGATTTTATCATTGTTGCTTACCACCTGTGTGACCTTTGGCAAAATCACTTAACCTCCCTTGGTCCCAGTTTCTTCGAGTGTAAAATGAGGGAGTTGGTCTGTATGGTGTATGTGGTTCCTTCTGGCTCTAAATTATGAGCCTATAGGTCATTTCTTCTTGGGTCTCAGTTTCTTTCCTTGTTTGTGAAAGTAAGGGGAAGCCAGGCATGGTGGTGGACACGACTGTCGTTCCGCTATTTGGGTGTCTGAGGATGGTGGATCATTTGAGTTCAGAAGCTTTGAGCTTTGTTGTTCAGTTGTTTCAATCATGTCCAATTCTTTGTGACCCCATTTGGGGTTTTCTTGGCAAAAATACTGGAGTGGTTTGCCATTCCCTTCTCTAGTTCATTATACAGATGAGGAAACTGTGATAGACAGGGTTAAGTGACTTGCCCCGGGTGACACAATTAATAAGTGTTTGAGGCTGAATTTGAACTCAGGTCTTCCTAACTTTAAGCCCAATGCGGTATCTGCTGCATCACTATAGGGATAAAGCCAATGGAGTGTCCAAACTAAGTCTGGCACCAAGATAGAAGGAAGGTCAGATCCTTTAGTGAGAAAAAGAATCAGTGAAAGCTTCACTATCAATCAAGGTTGGAATCTGGCTCATGGGTAGCTGGGGCACTTCTGACCTTTCACTCTGAGCAAAAGGAATGATTGATTTGCCTTTCATATTCTTTTCGTGGTTTTGGCTTTTCCCCCTTCCAGATCTATGACCCTATGCTCATGTTTATTGATGTTTATCAAGTTTGTAATGATAAAGAACACTGTTAGTGAAAATCTCCCTGTTCCCTTCTCAAATCTTCATCAAGGATAACACACACACACACACACACACTCACTCTCACACCCCAAGGATATCCTTGATGAGAATTTGAGAAGGAGTGTGTGTGTGTGTGTGTGTGTGTGTGTGTGTGTGTGTGTGTTTCCCATTAAAGATTCTAAAGATACGGGAAAGCAAGCACCCAACAACAGAAGAATTGCTTGACTTAACCGTGGTGCATTAATATAATGGAATACTATAATGCAATTAAGAACAACAAGTTTGAGGAACATGAAAAAATCCAGAAAGACCTTAATGAAATAACGCCAGGCCAAGGAAGCAGAAATGTGTGAACAAAGCACACGCTGGTGCCATAGAGGAGGGAAAGTGAATGAGAATGAATGGGCAAACATAGAATCCTGATGAGCCCTTGGAGGGAGACGCTGAAAAGGGCTTGTGCTGTTTTAGGCATTGAAATTAATTAATTTAAGTGTAAATGATTACAAAGCCATTTTAATTAGTTGTATTGATGTGTAATAATAAGTTTATAATCCTTTTTTTTTTTTTAAAGAGAATAGTTATATGGATCGGCAGTTACTCCTGTTTTCTTAATTGCCTTTTTTTGGTAGTAAACATGTCTCATTTTGTTTTGAAAGTGCTAGGTCACCTCCTTCCGTTTTTTTTGTTTTTTTTAGGCAATTGGGGTTAAGTGATTCGCCCAGGGTCACACAACTAGTAGGTGTCAAGTGTTTGGTCTGAGGCCGGATTTGAACTCAGATCCTCCTGACTTCAGGGCCCGTGCTGTATCCACTGTGCTACCTAGCTGCCCCGGTCACCTCCTTTCTTTCGGTTGTCTTGAGAATTCTGCCTTCAGCACCTTTGATGTTCCTCCAGCATGGGCCTTCTCCATAGCCGTGCACTGGTCTAGCTGCTGTTTCTCCCAATTTGGTTTTCCTTAGTTTTATCGAACACATGTTGCCATATTAATTTCCCTAAAGGACATATTTTAAATTTGACTAAGTGGTAATGGAGAGGTATCATGGTGTTATGGATAGAGCTCTGGCCTTAGAGCTGGAAAGACCTGGGTTCAGATCCTGCTTCTGACACTTACTGGCTTTGTGGCAAGTTGAGTAACCTCTCATTGTTCCCAGGATGCTCTCCTGTGACAGAGAAGGGACAGCCCGCTTTGATAGAGTCTCCTCCTCTGGGAGTTCCGCTATATGACTGAAATTATAGATGATGAAGTACAGATGAATGAAATTATAGAGCCTATCCCAATTTCTAACCCTAATAACAAATTTAGATTCTGTCCTGTGTAGCCAGGCTCAGATCACATCATTCCACTACTCAAACAGCTTTGATGGCTCCGCATTGCCAAGGAATCAAGGCCCAAAGCCTTAGCCAGGCATTAAAAACCCTCTACGTACAATCTAGCTTCTGTAGATCTTTCTGTCTTTATCCCACTCTACTCCGTCTGATGGACTCTCATTTCAGCCAAATTGATGTGCTTACCGTCTCCCAAATAGGAGGCAGTGTGGTATAGTAGATGGAGTCAGGAGGACCTAAGTTCAAATCCCGCCTCAAACTTTTACCAGCTGTGTGACCCTGGACAAGTCACTTAACTCAGCCTCAGTTTTGTCATCTGCAGAATGGGCACATTGGTCTTCATGGTCTCTGTAAGATCTCTTCTAGCTCTAACCCTGTGATTCTATGATCTTAAGTCATTGTGCCTTCTTGGGCCTCAGTTTCCTCATCTGTAAAATGAGGAGGTTGGACTCAGTCCCTTCCAGCGCTAACTCTGGGGTCCTGTGTCCTCTATTTCCCCTCCTCTACTTTTGTCCCTGGTGCAGGCAGAAAGCATATCCTCTCCCCATTACTTCCCGTGAAATGCATTGGGGCGTCTTTGTGAACTCTCATGGTGCATTAATATAACTATTGGGATATGTGTTAATCATTCATTATCCGTTGTTATTCAGTGATTTATTAGGGGATGTGATCAGTGCCTGATAATTAGCATATGCCAAGCCTTCTAGAGTAATACAGTTTTCTCATGACCTGTATTAATGTACTGCCAAAATTTGACGGACATAATCTGGTTCCCTATATCCTGCTGACTTTGTGCCCATCCTTCAAGGCCCAGGTGAAATGGCACCTTCTTCGGGAAGCCTCCCCTCAGCTTCAGGCACTGTGCACATCCTCATTTCTATTTGATTTACCGGTGTCTGTGTGTCATAGCACCTCCTGGGTGGAGGGCAGAGACCGTGCCTTGTTTATCTTGGCATTTTCCCCGTGCCCAGCACGGTGTTGCCAATCCGGTCTTTTGTTAGCTGTTGCCACTTTTACCCCTTCTCTTTCCTCCTGCAGCTGCCTCCTGGGTGTAAGCTCTTGTCACCACCCACCGGTACTATTGCCTAGCCTTCTGACTGGCTCCCTGCCTCCAGTCTTTTCCTTCAACAGTCCATCCCTCACTCAGCTGCCAAAGTGTTTTCCCTAACGTGTAGGTCTGACTAGGTCACCTCACTTGTTTAAGGAGCTCCAATGGCTCCCTATTATCACCTTGATCAAATATAAAAGCCTTGTTTGGCTTTCAGAGCCCCTCACAACCTGGCCTCTTTCCTACCTTTCCAGTCTTTTACACCTTTCTCTCTTCCATATACTCTGCTGGCCCTCACACATGGCATTCCATCTCCCGTGCCTCAAATGCTCTCCGTCTTTACCTCTGACTTCTAGCATCCCCGGCTTCCTTCAAGACTTGGCTCAAATCCTACCTTTGTAGGGCTTTCTTTTTTTTTATTTTTTCAAAGATTTTTTTCCAATTATATGTCAAAAAATTTTAAATGTGTTTTTTAGAATTTTGAGTTCCAGATTCTCTCCCTCCTTCCCCTCCCCCTTCATTGGAAAGGCAAGCAATCTGATATAGGTTATCCATGTGCAGACATGCAAAACATATTTCCATATTAGTCATGTTGTAAAAGAAAACACAGACCAAGAAAAATAAAGTTTAAAAAAGTATGCTGCACTCTGCATTCAGTCTCCACCAGTTCTTTCTCTGGATTTGGATAACATTTTTCATCATGAGTCCTTTGGAATTGTCTTGGATCATTGTATTGCTGAGAAGAGCTAAGTCATTCACAGCTGATCATCGTTACAATGTGTCTGTCACTGTGTACAGTGTTCTCCTGGTTCTGCTCACTTCACTATGCATCAGTTCATCTAAGTCTTCCCAGGTTTTTCTGAGGGCGTCCTGCTCATCACTTCTTATAGCACCATAGTGTTCCATCGCAATCACGCCACAGCTTTTCATCCCTTCCCCAATTGAGGGGTGAGGGTCTGAGGTCCCCTTGCTACCTGAGATTCCCTTCCATATACTCTTGATTACCTCTTGTTGGTACGGTTATTTGCATGTTATCTTCCCTTTTAGAATGTGAGCTCCTTGAGGGCAGGGAGCTTGTTTTTGCCTTTCTCCAGAGATTAGTACGGTGCCTGACACTTAGTAAGTGCTTAATAAATGCTCTTTTCCTGTGTAGCCAGTCAACTGAAGTCAGAGGAGTTAAGTCTACCCGAGGGGAAGGTCCGAGTGAAACTGGATCATGATGGGACCATACTGGACGTGGATGAGGACGACGTGGAGAAGGTATGGGACAGGCAGGGGCCTGGAGATGGGGTCTGCCAGGCTCTCGGGGGGGTGGATGTGAACCCCACATGCTTCTCCCTGTCCTCTAGGCCAACGCCCCATCCTGTGATCGACTGGAAGACCTGGCCTCCCTGGTATACCTCAACGAGTCAAGCGTCTTGCACACCCTCCGCCAGCGCTATGGGGCCAGCCTGCTGCACACATACGCTGGCCCCAGTTTGCTCATCCTCAGCCCCCGAGGGGCCCCTGCGATGTACTCTGAGAAGGTAGGGACCAGATGTCCCCCTCCCAGCGTTCCCACCCTGTCTCTCCATTCATAGCCCCATCCATTTCTCCAGCGTCTTCTTGTCTGGCTGTCTGCTCCAGTCTGCTTGTCTGGCTTCCCATCAAAAAGCAAAGAAGACAAAAGCATCTTTTAAAAATATCCAGCCCCAGGATGAGGCTTTATGCCTGTCTATTGGCTACATTTCCATTCGTTGCCTAGGCTCAGGCACAGGGAGGTTGATGGTGTTGATTCGTAGGATCATAGATCTAAAGTGGGAAGAGATATCAAAGCTCATTTTATTCAAGTCCTTCATTTTACAGATGAAAAAACTGAGGCCCAGGGAGATTTGAGTGACTTGTCCAAAGTCACATGGGATGCTAAGTAGTAGGATTAGAACCCAGACCCTGTGACTCTTCACTGTACCACGTTGCCTCCCATGGTTCAAATGTTAGCTCCTGTCACTATCTAATTGTATGGCTTTGGAGTAGCACTCAGCCTCAGTTTCCTCATCTGTAGAATGGAAGAGTAATTCTTGTACTATTTAACTTCTTAAGGTTTTTTCTGTATTTTTTCATGTTTATGTTTTTTCATATATTTAGTGTTTCTATGTTTTGTTTCATCAGTGCAAGGAACTTCTCCTAACAGTCGAAGGGGGAAGGGAGGAGAGAGAGAGAGACAGAGACAGAAAGAGAGAGAGAGAGAAATAATGATAATATTAATCTCTTAGTATGTGTCTTGCTTGGATTTTTTACTCCCAAGGCTTAGACATTCCCTGCCCTCAAAGAGCTTATATTCTAGTTTTGGAAGATATAAAGGGGAACTGGAGAGGGTGGGGTGGAAAGCGGAGATGAAGGTGGAATGAGGTGTGAGGATGGCTGGGAAGTGAAATGTATGGTTATTCGATTTTAGACAAAGTAAGGTTAAAAACTCACTTATCAGACCCAGAGAATCCAGGACTAGGATCCACGGTTCCAGTAAGGGGTCCGGGTAGAGGTGAGGGCAGAGATGAGGATGATGGCCAGTGTAGTGGTGAGGAGGTGGCCCAGGAGGGGCATGGAGGCCTGGCTCTTGCCTAGACAAGAGGAATGCTCCCCCATCACAGCTGGGGGACTCTGGGGTGGAGTCCAGGGTTTCATTGGTGGGCGAAGGAGGGGTGGGAAATGATGCTGATGGCCAGCATAGGCAGCATGGTGAGGAGATGTTTGGAAGGGCGGAAGACCTGGGTTTCTGATGCTTACTACCTTTGTGACCTTGGGCAAGTCCCAGCCTTCCTGGGCCTTTATTTCTTCTTCTGTAAAATGAGGGGCTTAGACCAAATGGCCTCTTCAGTCTCTTCCTGATCCTAATCTGTGATCCTGTGGGCTGGACATCCTCCTTCCAGCTTGGGGGCTCTGATCCTGACCCCTTGGGCAGTGGAGTCGCTGGTGCTCCCAGGGACTCCAAGTCTAATGCTCTCCCCTCCCCCCATCAAGGTGATGCACATGTTCAAAGGGTGCCGGCGGGAGGAAATGGCGCCCCACATCTACACCGTGGCACAGACTGCATACCGCGCCATGCTGATGAACCGCCAGGACCAGTCTATCATCTTACTGGGCAGCAGCGGCAGCGGCAAGACCGCTAGCTGCCAGCACCTGGTGCAATACCTGGCCACCATTGCGGGCACCAGTGGGAACAAGGTGTTCTCTGGTGAGGTGGAGGGCAGGCCTCACGCTCACGGGCTGGGGAAATGAGGATGACGTGGGGAGAAGGGGCCAGGCTTTTCTGTTGTCACTCTGTGATTCTACTGGCATGATAAGCCATTGCTTCTGAGACAGCAAAGTGGGGTGTTTCCTGGGGATCCCATCAGTCCCCTTCTATACACCATGGATCCTTATCCCCTGTAATATGAAGGCAGTGAGGGGAGGGCTGGCCTTGGCAGTGGGAAGACTTGGGTTTGAGACCTGCCTCAGGCACTGGTATGACCTTGATCAAATTACTCAAATTACTGCAAAATGGAGTTGGATTCGTGACCTCTAAGGTCCTTTCAGCTCTGGATCTATAATCCTGTAACCCTCACCTGTCTGGCTGGTCCCCTTGCCATGTCTGGATTTTGCCCAGTCAGCTCTATAAGCTCAATGGGTTCTTGGGGAGCAAGTTTGGGTCAGGGGGCCAGCATGGCTCCTCTCAGACATTACCAGGCCTCGCATGTCCACGCTGGGTGGACAAGCCGTTCTTTCTTCACCACATGCCCTTCTTGTCCCATTGCCTCTATCCTGATATTTCTCTGGTTTGCCCTTCACAGTGGAGAAGTGGCAGGCTCTGTACACCGTCTTGGAAGCCTTTGGGAACAGCCCCACCATCATGAACGGCAATGCTACCCGCTTCTCTCAGATCCTTTCGCTGGATTTTGACCAAGCTGGCCAGGTGGCCTCAGCCTCTGTTCAGGTGAGAGGAGACCCCCCACCCACCCACTGGACCAGAGGTTTGGAGAAAGGAAGGCTTAGCCTTGATCTGGTTGGGCTGGGAGGATGGTGGCTAGAAATTGATGAGCCATCTATAGTTTTTATCTCATTAATTGAGGGCCCATTTCCTGGGGTGTCAGGTCCTCCATCATGGACACAGCCAGCTCATGAGTGCACCCCAGTTAATACTGCCTGCCCTCCTCTAGGGGCTGCTCCACTGAGTCTGCATGGGATATCAGATCTGTGGCCCCAATTCCCTTTGCCCAGTTAGGACCAGAAAACGCCAGCGATCAGCTTCCTTAGAGACTCTTAGCTCCCTCTTACTTTTACCCCCTTCATCCCCACGATGCTTGAGGGAACCTAGAGGTGTAGGAGGTTTCATCAGTTCCCCTCTGCCGCACATCCTCTACTTATACCAATGACAGACTGGTCTTGGTACCATTTACCCCTAGTGGTGAGTAGAGTTCAAACACATTTTGGCTTATCATGGACAACATGGAAACACCCCCTGCCTGCCAAATGGTCACAATACTCCTGTTCTCCAAAGAAGAGTGGCAGTCATGGGCTAGGATGTGCTGCAGGGACTCACCTAAGTGATTGACCATCTCTTCTGTTTTGGGACCAGACCAAGGCTTGGGGTAGCTAGGTAGCGATGGTAGATACAGCGCTGGGTCTGGAGTCAGGGAAACCTGAGTTCAAATCCTGCCTCAAATACTTACTAGCTATATGACCCTGGGCAAAGTCACTTAACCTCTGTCTGCCTCAGTTTTTTCATCTGTAAAATGGGGGTAATAATAGTACCTCCCTCCCAAGGTTATTGTGAGGACTAAATCAGATAATATTTGTGAAGCACTTTGCAAACCTTAGAGTGCTATATAAATACTAGCTATTGTTATTGTTGTTGTTGTTATTAAGAAAGGCTCTGGCTGGCACTGCCCCTGACAGTAGAGTTGGCATGTCTCTTTTTTTTTTGGCATGTCTCTTGAGAGTAAGGTGGGGCGCCCTGTCCCTCAGGTACAGGTAGCAGCCATTCTTGGCGAAGAATTGGGGGAGGTGGGGAGCACTTGCTGGCCTTGACCCATGTCCCTATCCTGCACTTTCCTGCAGACTATGCTGCTTGAGAAGCTCCGAGTCGCCCGGCGCCCAGCCAATGAAGCCACCTTCAATGTCTTCTACTACTTATTGGCCTGTGGAGATAGCACCCTTAGGTGAGACAGGATGGGTGGTTGGGAAAAGGAGTCCCCCTCGCCAGTGGATTGGGCCCCTGAGCTTTGGCCCTTGGGAAGATCAGCTTTCATTTCTGGGCTGTCCCTGCCTGTGTTTGAGGCAGTAAAAGATATGAAAAAGCTGTAGGAAAAGAAAAAGATATGGGAGTCTGAATGAGGACTGCAAGCCCATCATGTGATATAGGAGCCAGTGCAGTCTTAGCCTGCCTTGAGAGAGAGTGTGTCTAAAACTAAGGAGGAGATAGTCCCATGCCCGGAGGGCTGTGTTCAGTTCTGGACACCATAGTTTAGAAAGGGCATTGATAAGCTTGAGGGCAACTGGGATGGTGAAGGACCAGTGCCTGGCAATAGGTGGTTATTGATTGACTAACTAGTTGATTGAGGTCATGCCCTATAAGAATAGGTTGAAGGAAATGGGGATAGAGAAAGATTTAGGGCAACATCGTAGGTATCTTTAAGTTTTTAAGGGACCCTCATGTGGAAGGGGGCAATATGACATAGTGGATAGAGAGCTAGCCTTAAAGCCAGAAAGACCTCGGTTCCCACCTCTGATTTCTACTGGCTCTGTGACCCCGGCAAGTCATTTATGTCCAGTGCCCTCAGCAAGACCTAGATTCTTAATCTCTGTCATGTGCCAAGGACTCCTTTGGCAGGATGGGGAAGCTCTTTACCCACCTCAGGTTAAGAATCCTGGCTGCAAGATTCTAAGGTGCTGCCTGCTATCGATAGAGGAAGTGTCCTCACCTGGGAGTTCTCTATAGCAATGAAAGCACAGGTCCAGCCCAGCCCATCCCAAGAGGGTTCGGACCAATTCTGCCTAGCCCGGGAGGGCTGAACAGGTAGTGGCCAGTGGAAGTTGCTGAGTGGCCTGTGTAGGGGAGCTCAGAACCTTCCCAGGAATGAGAGCCGTTCAGAGGTGGGATGAGCTCCCTCAGGTTGTGGGCTCCCCCCGACTCCTCGCAGAGGCTTTGGAGGGTGGGATGTGCTGTCCAGGAGGTGCCTGGGTCCAACTGGCTGGTCTCAGAGATACAGTGAGCCGTGTGACAAAGCCGCAGGCTGGATCTTTGATCACTTAAAGGGACAGAAGAGACTCAGAGGCCCTGGGTGGCCGCCCCCGTGCCCTCTTGCTCCATCGCAGCTCTCTGTGCCACAGTGGGCACAGCTGTGGTTTTTCTCATTTTCCAGGCAGCATAGATGTGCTACTCCATTCAGGAGCACCTACTGTGTACCAGCCATTGGGGATAAAATAATGAAATAACCCTGGCCTGAGCTCACATCCTATTCAGGGGTTATAACACTGAGCCACAGAATTTGAGATTGGGAGGGGACCATCTAGTTTAATTCATACATGAAAAGAATTCCTGCTGTAATACGCCTGACAAGTGGTTGTCCAGCTACGTGTGCAATGATAAGTAAAAACAAAGTAATTTGATAAGAGAGAAGGCTAAATTGGGGGGAGGGAATCAGGACCACTTACCTGGGTAACCTTGGGTGAGTCGTTAACCCCTCTAAGCCTCAGTTTCTTTATCTGTAGAATGAGGGGGTCAAGTCCTTCCCAACTCTAAGAGCCTATGATCTTGGCCAACTCGCTTAATTTTTCTGTGCCTCAGTTTCCTCATTTGTAAAATCAAAGGGTTGGATTTGATGACCAGCTTAGCTCCCTTCCAGCTCTAAATCTATGAGCCATCTGGGCATCTCGAAACAGGGTCACAACCTATTGGGGGTTCTCTCCCACCCCGCCCCAGGCACACAGGCCCTGTCTTCTGAGAGCCTTCTAGGACATAGGGAGCACTTGTTCCCTGTGGGGCCCAGTGGACATCCAGCACAGATGGTCCCCTCAGCCCTAGATCTTTAGGATCTGATGATCCTTAGGACTGAAGGCGTCATGGAGGTGGCGTCTGGCCTGGGCAGCACTGGCAATGTCTGTTTCAGGTGACTGGGCACCTCAGGGGAGAAAGGAGGTGGGATCTGAAAGTAGGGGTGCTGTGCTCTCTGCATAGATAGAACTGCGGAGTCTAGAAGCTGCTCGGCCCTCGACAGTGAGCAGACCTTGGCGGGTCTACCCTGACCGGTGCTAATGCCAAGTTTTCACCCACAGGACAGAGTTACACTTCAACCACCTGGCTGAAAACAATGTGTTTGGGATTGTGCCCTTGTCCAAGGTGAGGTGGCCCCCGGGGCTCGTTTGGCACGGCTTGGTTAGGCATGCGGGAGTCATATTTGATGACCTCTGAACTGTTTTGGTCAAGTCACTTTAATTTTTTTTGGGCCTCAGTTTCCTCATCTGTAAAATAAGGGGGTCCTGCCTAGATGTCACTTGGGGACCTGGCCCAAGCATGGTTGCTCTTTTCTAAACTGGAGCCATTGGCCTTCTTGCCCTTTCAAGCCAGATTTTGGGGCTTGGACCCTCCCCAGGGGAAGGGAACGGGGGTCTTCCCTGCCACACCTTGGTGAGGAAGGCCCCCTTCCATTCTGCACTGCCATGGCCCCTATGCCAACAAGCCTGGTCACTCCCCGACAGCCCGAGGAGAAGCAGAAGGCCGCCCAGCAGTTCAGTAAGCTGCAGGCCGCCATGAAGGTTCTGGGCATCTCCCCCGATGAGCAGAAGGCCTGTTGGTTCATCCTGGCTGCCATCTACCACCTGGGAGCTGCCGGTGCCACCAAAGGTAAATGACCATTGGACAGAGCTGACCTTGCTCAGGTGGGACAGCCATAAACCCAAGACCCAAAGGGCCCTTGTTCCATCCGGGGATCACTGGAAGTTTTAAAAGATGCCGTGGACTTGTAGTCAGGAAGCTCAGGCCTGACCCTTACTAGCCATGTGACCTTGGGCAAATCCCTGCCTCTCCCTTGGCCTCAGTGTCCTCACACGTAAAATGAGGGGGTGGGGCTAGACGTCCTCTGAGATCTGCTCCGGTTTGGATTCTATCACTCTAAGTCACTTATCCTCTCTGGGCCTCAGTTTCCTCATCTGTAAAATAAGGGGGTTGAGTTTGCTGAACTTTTAGGCCCCTTACACCTCTAAATCCATGAGTTATGAGCCATCTGGGCATCCAGAATGAAGGTCATGACCTGTTGGGAGCTCTTCCCCCATCCCACCTGAGGCCCACTGAGGGTCTTACCTCCTAAGAGTTCTCTAGGACCCGAGGACACTTGTTCCCTGGGAGACCCTGGCCATAGGGGCCGTGTCACCACCTGGGTCATCTGTCCCAGGATGGGACAGTCTTCTCCATTGGGGCACAACCATGTCTACAGTCTCCCCTGGAGCCCTACTCTGACACGTCATCATGGTGGGTGGTGGCCCTGAGTTTTCAGAATGTCTACCAGCAGAGCTCAGACTCAGGAAGGGCATTGAGCCTGGCTCTGCCCCCTTGGCTTCAGCTTCGCTAAGCTCAGAAAGGCTTATGGACAGACCAGTCACAGGGAGAAGGATTTATAAACCACAGTCGTTCTCCCAGAGGTAGCATGGGATCTCTAATAATGGATTCGTACATGGAGTCAGAAAGACTTAGGTTCCATCCCCACCTCAAACGCCTCACTAGCCACGTGGCTCTAGGCAACTCACTTAATCTCTCTGTTGTTTCTCCATCTGCAAAAGAAGATGACCTCAGAGGTCCATTCCAGCTCCAGGCCTATGATACTGTGATTCTGCCTTTTTGGGCCTCAGTTTCCTTGTCTGTACAATGAGAGGGCTGGACCAGAGGGTCCCTTCTGGCTCTAAATCTGTAAATGTCTCTGATCCAGGGAGGCGACTGTAATCAGTGATCTGGGCTCTCAGGCTGAAACTCTAAGCCCTCCTCTGAAGGGCTCAGTTAAGTCAGTAAATGTTCATTAAATGCCTACTGTGTGCCAGGTACTGTGCACAGTGGGAGGGATGCAGCAGCTCGCCACCTAATGGGGGAGAGAGCGTGCTGATAACTATGTGCAGACAAGCTAGAGACAGGATAGCTTGGAGATCCCCAACGAGGAAGGCACCAGAATTAAGGGGGACCAGGAAGGGCTTCCTATGGAAAGTGGGATTTCTGCTGGGACTTGGAGAAAGCCAGGGAGGCCTCGTCACCAGATTGCCCGGGATCTGGTGGGACGGTGAGGTATGAGAAGACTGGCAGCAGAGAGCTCATGAGGGGCTTTGAACGCCAGACAGAGGGTTTGCGATTGATCCTGGAGGCGGTAGACAGCCACTGGTGTTTCTCGAGGAGGGGGTAACATGGTCAGTAGAAAGAAGGGGGTGATTTTACAAGGCCTTGGCAGCGGGTTGGATATGGCGGGAGAGGAGGGGGGCGAGAGAGTGAGGGAGAGAGGCTGGCGCCTAGGCTGTCGGCCTGGTGATTGGGAGAACAGTGATGGAGGAATTAGGAGAAAGGAGGGTTTGGTGGAAAAGATGAGTTCACTTTCAGTTATGGTGAGTTTAAGGTGATAATCCAGTTCAAGATGTCTGAGGGGCCGTTGGAGATGAGAGACTGGAGGTCAGCGGAGAAATTAGGGCTGAATGAGTTGATTTGAGAACCATCAGCAGAGAGATGGTCATTAAATCCATGGGACCTGATGAGATCCCTGAGTGACGTTGTGTAAAGGGAGAGGAGGGCCTGGGACAGAACCCTATGGGGCACCCGCAGTTCGTAGGCGTGGCCTGGATGAAGGTCCAGCAAAGGCGACGGAGAAGAAGTGGTCAGATAGGGAGGAGGAGAACCAGGAGAGTTTGTGTCCTGGTCAGGGCATGGGATATGAGGAAGGAGGAGGGGGCCTTGGGGGACCCCGCCCCATATGAATAACTCTCATTCCTATTCCCTTTCACACAGCGCCCCTTGAGGAACAATCTGGTAACTAAGCCCCTGTAACCCTCCCATTGGGGATGAATGGTGCTCCCCCCCACTCCTGGGGTGAACGGTGCTCCCTCCGCGGTGTTCCCTCTATTCTCACTCTGGGGTGCTGGGATTTGTCTGGCTCGGTGGATGGAGAAGGAAGCCGGCCTGGGCAGGATCTGCAGAGTCTGAGAGTCGGGGATAATCCGAGCAGTTAGGGGTCCTGGGGGATGGGCCTGCAGTGGCGCCCAGAGCAGTTCTGTCTCTGTGCTCGCCACGGCTCCAGGCCTGCTCCTCTCGCCTCAGCTCATGGGGCCGGGCTATTTCCCATGGCCCAGATGTGACGGGCTTGCCCTCCTTAGCTCCTGGAAGCCACAGGCCGGCTTCCCCTAAGCCTCCCTTCTTTAGAACTCCCCTCCTCTCTTTGTCCCTTACTTCTCTGTCTCTGCCTCTCTTTCTCTCCCTCTTTTTCTCTATTCCTCTCTTCTCTCTACTCTTTCTTCTTTCTCTCTTCCCTCCCTATCTCTGTCTCTTTCTGTGTGTCTCTCTGTCTCTCTCTCTTATTCTTTCTGTCTCTTGTCTGTCCCTCCCTCTCTCTTGCATGATGGGGTAGTGGACACTAGGGGGCAGCAGGTGACAGGGCCGCAGCTTTCCATCTTTTTGCTTGGAGATTAAGGCATGGCTGGGATCAATCGGCTTGCGGGGTGTGGGGGAAGGGGGGAAGTGCGCTCGGTGCTACCGAGGGGGCAGATACCTCTGGGGGGCTGGGAGGTTCTGGAAAGAAGAGGTGGGGAGAGGCCCCTGCCCACCTTCTGGGGCTTGCATCAATAAAGTCCCCTTTGGAGGACCTAGGACCTTGGACAGCCCTTTCCCTTCTTGGACAAGGAGATTGGATGCTGGGTCTGGATATTGTGTCTCCTGTCCCCATCTCTTTGGCCAGGAGGACTGTTGAGCTAAAGAAGGTTGCAGTGGGTGCCTGACTGGGGGATCTGGCTCAGGGCTGGCCCCTTCTGTGGGTCCAGCTAGGAAAGGGGAGAAGTCAGTGCCCGGCTTTAAAATGTTGTCTCTGAAGTGTGTGGGTGTGAACACCCGTGAACACATGTGCCCCCAAGGAGGCCCCATTCTATTCAGGGCAGGCAGTGGGCAGTCCTGGAGGTCCTGTGCAGCCCCAGCTTCTTGGAGGGCTCTGTGTGTGTGTGTGTGTGTGTGTGTGAGTGTGTGTGTGTGTTGCTGTATCTGTCACTGTCTCTGATTTTCTGGGTTGTGCATCACCTGGGGGTGCAGATATATGTCTGATAGAATTTCAGAGCATGTTTTTCTTTGAATCAGCTTCTGGGGCTGCGGAGCCTCGCTGAGCCTTTGGCTTTGTGGGCACATCTGTGTGTATGTGTGTAGTTGCATGTGTGTATGTGCACATATGTATGTTTGCATGTGTGTATGTATGTGTGCTGTGTGTCTGGACTCAGGCCTGCTCCCATCACATCCCCTTCCCCCCCACCCCCTCCCTCTACCACCCCCCTCGCCCACCAGGCTGTGTTTATGATTTTGTTTGCTAACAAACTGTTTTTCTTTGCATGCTGCATGCTGGCCCTTTGCCTTACAGAAGCTGCTGAAGGTAAAACCTTGTTTCTCGTTAGCTTTCCTTAATTACCATGATTAGCCACATGTTGGCTGAGACGTGTGTCTGCGTGGGCCGCTCCCCACAGCTCCCTCTGGGCGATGGGGGGACGCGCTCTAGGCCTCCTTCCCTGCTCTCCCCGAGCAGCTGCTGAGGTGCCGCTGCATGGGGAGGAAGGTGGGAAACGGGGAGGCGATCCCCCCAGGCACTGGCAGAGACGGGACCCTCCGCTCCCCAGGCAGGCAGCTCTGGAGTCAGGCCCATGTTTGGAGGGGGCTTAGAGAGCCCTGCCGGGGGTATGGGTGCTTGCCAGCTCTCTGCTTGGAGATCAAGGCATGGCTGAGATTGATCACCTGGGGTGGGGGGCAGGTGTGCTGTCCTGTGGAGGCCGCAGGTGGCAGTCACCCACCTTCTCTTCTCGCGCCTGCCTCCTCTCTGTCACACTTACCTCTGGGGGAAAATGAGGGGCTTTGGAGGGTTTTGGGCCACCCGAGCTCCCTGGGAATCCCTGAGGCATGCCCTCGGGACATCGGAAGCCATGGCCCTGCTGAGCTTCGGGGGGCCCCCCACCCTGAAGCGTGGGTGATGGAGGCTGCAGGACACTCAGTCACAAGTGGATGGGAGAAGGCTCTCCTGAGATGTCTTCTGCTCCTTTCTGCAGCTGGACGCAAGCAGTTTGCCCGCCATGAGTGGGCGCAGAAGGCGGCCTATCTGCTGGGCTGTAGCCTGGAAGAACTCTCGTCTGCCATCTTCAAGCACCAGCCCAAGGGCTCCCTCCAGCGCTCCACCTCCTTCCGCCAGGGCCCTGAGGAGAACAGCTCAGGAGATGCTACAGGTATTGTCGGCCCCCTTCCCCATTACCTGGGTGTCAGCCATCAGCTGTGTGGCTGCGTGCAAGCCTCAGTCTCCTCGTCTCTAAAATGGGGTTAGTGATCCTGAGAGAGAGGTAATATGGTGTAGTGAGTATGCATCTTTGCTGTCTCAGCGCTTGTCCCAAATTGACCAGGCACCACTGAGCCAGGAGGTCCCTGACTTGTGCCTTTGGCTTATCAGAAGCAGCAAATGGTATAGTGAACTGAGATCTGCCTTCGGGGTCAGAAGGCCTTGGGTTCAGGTCACGCCTCTGACACATCCTGGCTGTGTGACCCTGGGTGAGTCACTCAAGGCGACTCTCTAAGTAAGTTGCAGAGCCTGGTGCCGATCTGTGTTAGTAGAGAGAATTTCCGCACTGGGAGTTCCTGGTACCAATGAAACCACAGACTCAGTTGAAAAAAAAACCCTGCAGTAACTCTCTCCCAGTGTCACTGTAGGCTCAGATGACATGCCTTCCACAAAGGGCTTTGTAAACCTTAAAACACTCTGCGCGTAAGTGTTCCCTGGTTCTCATCGTCATCTTCGTCAGGTAAATGGGTGTGAGCTAAATCACTTCAGCAACAAAGCCCATTTCCCTGGCCAGGTGTGGGCATTCATCTAACACCAGCATGGCCCTGAAAACAAGCACAAGGTCTCTTGGGCGTGGGAGGGCAGGGACTGCGCTTGAGCCCCGTGGGGCTGGCCAGGGCTTCCCAATGGGGATGCTGGGAAGGGACCAAGGTCCATGCATTTCCCCACAGGCTCCAAGCTGAGTGCGCTCGAGTGCGTGGAAGGCATGGCCTCGGGTCTCTACTCTGAGCTCTTCACTCTCCTTGTCTCCTTGGTGAACAGGTATGTACCTGGCTTAGGGCCAGGGCCCGGGGCCCCCCAGCTGCCCAACAGAGGTTTTGAAACCACCCCTGATTCCTTCTTTGCAGGGCAGTGCACCCCTCCTATCAGCAGAGGGCAGAAGACTGGGGCTTGAGCTGAGGCTCAGGGGAGGCAGATGCAGGGGGCAGGGAGGAGTGGTGATGGGGGACGTATGTTAGGGGAGGGGGTGTGGGACACTGGCAGCAGGGACCTCCGGCAGGGCAGCCTCTCAGTGCTTCAGGTTCTTCATCAGTAAAATGTGAGAGTTGGACTTGACCTCCAGGGTCACCTCCAGCTCTGACTCTATGACCCAGTGACCTTCAGGGTCCTCTTCACCTCTGACTCTATGACCCAGTGACCTTCAGGGTCCCATCCAGCTCTGACTCTATGACCCTATGACCTCCAGGGTCCCCTCTAGCTCTGACTCTATGACCCAATGACCTCCAGGGTCCCCTCTAGCTCTGACTGTATGACCCAGTGATCTCCAGGATCTCCTCCAGCTCGATTCTATGACCCTATGACCTCCAGGGTCCCCTCTAGCTCTGACCCTATGACCCAGTGACCTCCAGGGTCCTCTTCACCTCTGACTCTATGACCCAGTGACCTCCAGGGTCCTCTTTACCTCTGACTCTATGACCCAATGACCTCCAGGATCCCCTCTAGCTCTGACCCTATGACCCAGTGACCTCCAGGGTCCTCTTCACCTCTGACTCGATGACCCAGTGATCTCCAGGGTCCCCTCTAGCTCTGACTCTATGACCCAGTGACCTCCAGGGTCCTCTTCACCTCTGACTCTATGACCCAGTGACCTCCAGGGTCCTCTTCACCTCTGACTCTATGACCCAATGACCTCCAGGGTCCCCTCTAGCTCTGACTCTATGACCCAATGATCTCCAGGATCTCCTCCAGCTCGATTCTATGACCCAGTGGCCTCCAGGGTCCCCTCTAGCTCTGACTCTATGACCCAGTGACCTCCAGGGTCCCCTCTAGCTCTGACTCTATGACCCAGTGACCTCCAGGGTCCCCTCCAGCTCTGACCCTATGACCCCGTGACCTCCAGGGTCCCTTCCACCTCTGACTCTATGACCTTATGACTTCCTGGGTCCCCTCCAGCTTCTATGACCCAATGACTTAGTCACCTCTAAGACAGAGGTTCTTAAGCTTGGTTTCGTGGACTTGTTTTTTCTTTGTAAGATTTTGATCAGCCTATTTCAATGTAAAGGGCTTCCTTTGTAATGCTCCGTGTTTTATTTTGTGCATTTCCACATCCAGTTCTGAGAAGGGGTCCATAGGCCTCCCTAGGCTGCCTAGGGGGTTGAGGACACAGAAGTGGTGGAGGCCCCTTGTGAGCCTGGGTGCTGATCCTCCTTCCCTAGAGGACACAGGGCATTTTGGAAAGGAGTCCAGAAGCCTCCTGGTCCTGGCTCCATGAGGGAGGGAAGCCCCTTGGTGGGGATGGGGCCTGGCAGGTGCTGCCACCCTTCACCCTGCCTCCCGTCCTCCCCCTGAAGGGCCCTCAAGTCCAGCCAGCATTCCCTCTGCTCCATGATGATCGTGGACACTCCTGGCTTCCAAAATCCGGACCTGGGGGGCTCGACCCGAGGGGCCTCCTTTGAAGAACTGTGCCACAATTACACCCAGGACCGGCTCCAGACCCTCTTCCACGAAAGGACCTTTGTGCAGGAGCTGGACAGATACAAGGAGGTAGGCTCCTCCCCAGCCCTGCCCACCTCGGCCGGCAGAGCTCCCGGAGAAGGCTGGCCTACGACCCAATGTGGGGCGTGGGGGGTGTCTGTATTGGGCCTGCTGCCTTGTCCCTCACCTTTGGTGCTGCTGCACTTCCTAGGAGAACGTCGAGTTGGCATTCGATGACATGGAGCCTGGGGCAGTCGACTCTGTAGCCGTCGTGGACCAAGCATCCCACCAAGCCCTGGTAAGCATTGCTGGGGTGGGGCTGGCCCTCGTCTTCCCGATCCTTGTTTCTCTTCCTCTCCTTCCCTCCCCTTACTGAAAGTTCAGTTCAGCAAACATTTATTCATGCGTCCTACGCGCATCTCTTTCTCTGCCTCAGTTTCCTTCTCTGTAAAATGAGGAAGGATAGCACTGGATGGCCTCTGAGACTCCTTCCGGCTCTCGGTCTGTGAGCTTGGCCAGAGACAGTGTGGTTCAATGGTCAGGGCGCTAGATCCGGCGTCAGAAGACCTGGGTTCGAACGTCAGCCCTGCCGCTTACTCCCTGAGGGAGTTACAGCTCCTCCTGGACCTTGGTCTCCTTATCTGTGAGATGTGGCAGTTGCGCTAGAAAATAATAATAATATAATAAAAACTAGCATTAATATAGCACTTTAAAGTTGCAAAATACCAAGTGTATATGATCTTATTTCAGCCTCACAACAGGGAGGGAGGCGGGTCCTGTTATTATCCCCGTTTTACAGGTAAGGAGACTGAGGCACAGAGAGGTGGTGGGTCCCATGGGTAGTAGGTGTCTGAGGCAGGATTTGAATTTGGGTCTTCCTCATTCCCAGTCCAGCTTCTCCCTACTAACTGATCTGGGTACCCGTGATCTCTGAGGTTCCTTCCAGCCCTGAACCCTGGGTTCTTATGACTTGCAGACCCACCCAGGTACTAAGCCTTCCACATCTGTGTGCAGGCAAGGGGAGAGCCCAAGGGTCAGGGGCCCAGCTTGCCACCCCGCCTGCTTTGGGCCCAAATCGGACCCTCGTGGCTGCTGCAGAGGGCACACAACCTGGAAATGCAGATGGGGAGAGAGACCCACCCTCCCAAGGGTCTTGACGGGCCTCGTCGTTCACACATCAGATTCTCCTACCCCAAGGAACCTGCCCAGGAAGGGGGCGGCTTCGATTCTAGCTGGGCATTCCCCCTGAGACGTCTGGGCAATGACGGGTCACCCACCGCTGAAGAGTTTTGTGGTCAGAGATAGAGGGGTTGGCATAAGAGGAGACAGGAAATTGGGGAGGCTTCTTTGATTCCCCCTCAGTGGCAAGGACCCCGGAAAGCCATGCTGATTGGCTGGATCTAACGAGCGCCTGGCGCTTGCTCTTTGCCCTTAATTAGGCAAATTGCGTAAGACGGTTTATTAGAAAATTGACATTGATGCCAGGTTGCTGATTTCCCTCCCCAGCTTTGATCCCTGTCACCCACTTCTAGCCACTCCCCTGGGGATGGGCTTTGTGCAGCTGGCATCAGGGGTGGAGATGGGGAGATGGCCTGGGAGTCACCCAGGACTGTGAAAGCTCTCAATGCCTTGGCCCAGTGGCTTTTGGGGGAGGTCCACCTGGCTTTATCCTGATCTTGGGGCACACATCTTAGAGAGCTCTAGATTGTCCCAGAAAGGATTATTGAAAGTGCTAGAGGGGCAGCTAGGTGGTGCAGTGGATAGAGCACCGGCCCTGAAGTCAGGAGGACCTGATTTCAAATCCGGCCTCAGATCAAACACTTGATACTTACTAGCTGTGTGACCCTGGGCAAGTCACTTAACCCCAATTGCCTCACTAAAAAAAAAATAAAAAACGTGCTAGAGACACCCAGGAGTCGATCAGGTTGCTGTGAGCGGGGTTCACGCCATCCCTCTTTAATACAGTGGGGGCCGAGCATCAAGGCTCAACGTCCATAAGAGACTCTCCTCTCTCCATTAAGGGTTCTGGCTTGCGTGGGAGAGCCAGGCACCCACTTATCGTTCTAATGGACTGACTCTGTGTTCCCGAGGCCCAGCCCGATCTGTCACGGTACCTGAATCACCCATCAGGCCTCAGCCTTGTTCTGCCGGGGTCCCTTTATCCTTTTAGAGATAATGACTCAGGCAGCGCCAGGAGAAGGTGTGAGCAGCCAGAAGAGAGGGGAGGGAAAACAGAGGGGAGAATTGGGGAGGCAGAGGAGAAAGGAGCATCCTGTCTCTCTCCTCTGCCTCAGAGCCGGGTCATTTGGGGACCATTACGATGGGAAGAGGGGAAGAGAAGTGAAGCAAGTTCTTTCTGGTCAATCGATTGGCAGGCACGTATTGTTAAGCGCCTACTGTATGCCAGACACCATGCTAGTCTGTTATAAGGAAGGCCTAGGAGTTCCTCTGATCCCATCCCAGAGCAGTCACAGGGTCCCAGATCTAGATCTCACAAGGGCCTCAGCAGGCATTGATTCCAACCCCCTCATTTTACAGATGAAGAAACTGAGGCCCAGACAGGTTAAGTGACCTGGGAATGTAGATATGGAGCTGGAAGTGAGCTCAAAGGTCTTCTAGTCTCTCACTTTGCAGATGAGGAAACTGAGGGCCAAACGGGTTAAGGATCATAGATATAGTGCTGAAGGGACCTCAGAGCTCATCTTGTCCAGTCCCCTCACTGAACTGAGGCCTAGGTGAAGCCCAAGGTTACCTAAATGTCAGAGGTGGGATTTGAACCCAGGTTCACCAGAGCCAGTGTTCTTTCCCCTCCACCGTGCCTCCTCCCTCCTCTCTCCCCCTGTCCTCCATCTGACCCCATCCCGGGCAGTTTCTTACAATTCCAGGTAATGTGGGCCTATGTCCCCTTTCAGGTGCGATCCCTGGCCCGGCCAGAGGAGGCTCGGGGCCTTCTGTGGCTGTTGGAAGAGGAGGCGGTGGTACCAGGTAGCACTGACGAGGCCCTGCTAGAGAGGCTTTTCTCTTACTACGGCCCCCAGGATGGCGACAAGAAAGGTGGGTGGGATGGTGCTCCATACCTCCCAGGAGGATGGCCGAGCCCCTTGCTCTCCGTGGTGAGCTACCTGGCCTTGCCCAGCATTATCTGTGGCTAAGCAGGCTCTTGGGTCCCAGGGGTTTCCTGCAGGGCAGTGCCACCCTGAATCCATTGTGCCTAGCCCCTTGGGGAATTCTTTTTTTTTTAAATTTAGCATTTGATTTTTCCCCAATTACATGTAAAAACAATTTTTCTACATTTGTCTTTAAAATTGAGTTTCAAATTCTCTCCCACTCTCCCAACCCCCCTCACTGAGACGGCAAGCAATTTGATACAGGTTATACACGTGCAGTCGTGCACAACACATTTCCATATTAGTCATGTTGACAAAGAAAACATAGACAAAAATAAAAACCCAAGAAAAATAAAGCAAAAAGAGTATGCTTGGATCTGCATTCAGTCTCCACCAGTTCTTTCCCTGGGGGTGGATGGCATTTTTCACCATCAGTCCTTCAGAATTCTCTTGGATCATTGCATCGCTGAGAAGAGCTAGGTCCTTCACAGCTGACCGTCTTACAATATGGCTGTTACTGTGCACAGTGTTCTCCTGGTTCTGTTCATTTCACTTTGCATCCATTCATATAAGTCTCCAGGTTTTTCTGAGAGCATTGAGCTCGTCATTTCTTAGGGCACATTAGTACTCCATCACAATTATATACCACAAATTGCTCAGCCATTCCCCAATTGATGGGCGTCGCCTCAGTTTTCCATTCTTTGCCACCCTTGGGGAATTCTTCCCCCCAGCCTCAGGAGTTGGTCCCTGAGTACTTCTCTTTCTTCCCTCTAGGACAGAGCCCCCTCCTTCGAAGCAGCAAGCCTCACCACTTCCTCCTGGGCCACAGCCACAACACCAACTGGGTGGAGTACAACGTGGAGGGCTGGCGGAGCTATGCCAAGCAGAACCCAGCCATGCAGAATGCCCCACGGCTGCTGCAGGACTCTCAGAAGTAAGTCCCCCCCACCTCGTGGCTCCGTGAAGGGCCGTGGGCTCGCCTGGGGGCCTGGCAAAGTGTGCCAGGGGCTTCTTTTCCCATGGGGCGCCCCAGACGTCGGTGGGATGGGTCATTCCCACTTCCTACAGTGCCTGGCACACAGTAAGCACTTAAGAAATGTTTGTTACCTTTGTTGTTGGCTCCCGAGTGGCAGCAGGAGAAGTTAGTGCCAACCACAGATGCTTCAGAAGGCTCGTGGTTAGCCTTGCCACAGAGGAAGCCGCTGGAGGCCTGTGAAATTTAAGTTCTCTAGTTAAGGGAGGATCATGGGATACAACTCGAAGGTTTCACAGTTTGAATCTCTCCCCAAAGCTGGGATCTTGCAGCGCCCCCCCTCCCCCGCCCCACACAATTCCTTCTTAACCAGGGGTCCTCCAGGATTTGGTGGACGGATTTCACAGGGTTCCATGGACTTGTATGGGAAAAAAATACCATCTACATTTTCACTAACTTTTACTGGTTTAGCATTCCCTTCCGTTATTTAGAAGCATTATCCTGAGAAAGGGTCCCTGGGCTTCCCTGAACTGTCCAAGGGTCCGTGTTACAAAAGGGGTATGAGACAACTGACAGCAGGTGAGGAAAAGGGAACAAACATTGATATGACACCTACTGTGTGCCCAGTACTGTGTTAAGTGCTTTGCAGTTATCTCGTTTGATCCTTACGACAAGTAAGTAAGGGAAGTAGCTGCTGTGATTATCCCCATTTTACAGTTGAGGAAACAAATAGGGTTAAGTGACTTGCCCAGGGTCACACAGTTAGTAAGTATCTGGGGCTGGATCTGAACTCAGCTTCCTGACTCCAGGCCAAGGGCTCTATCTCCTGTATCTATCACCAGCCACCTCTGACCTGGGATGGGCATGGCCTGATGGGAATTGGTGCGGCATAAACATCCCTTAAATTATAATTCCAGCATCTCTGACTTGGCTTGTCCTATGGTTCTGGGTCCCATGGGTCCCCTCCCTCTCTGTGTAGGTTCTATAGGTGGTTCTACTTTGCTTTCCTTTCCAAAATCCTAAGGGGAGAAAGTATCATAAGAAGCACTTATGGGACTCTGGGAGACCTGGGTTCTAATCCTGCCTCAGACACTTACTAGCTTTGTGACCCTGGACAAATCACTTCTTTATTTGCCTCAGTTTCCTCATTTGTAAAATGGCCTCTGAGGTCCCTTCCAGCCTGCATTGAATAAAAAGCTTTCCTGGGGGGCCTGTGATAGGTCTCATGGCCACTTTGTTTTGGCATCCACAATGAAGAAGTGAAGAGGTGTTTGTTAAGTGATTTTTAGGTGCCAAGGGCTAGCGGATGGGGGTTGGGATAGGGGCTGCACCAGACGTTTATTTCACTAGTTTAGAGACCTCCCTGGGGAAGGAGCTCCCTCTACAAATCCACTCCCCTGCAAATTATGGTCCTGGAGAATAGGGTCCCAGAGCATTGAGAGGTGAAGTGAGTTGCTCTCAGTCCCCACTGGCACCTGTGTCAGAGATGGGGCTCGAACCCAGGTCTTCTTGGCTCTCTGGACACTGCTGTACAAATGCAGAAGCAAAGAGAGTCCCTGCCCTCTGGGAGCTTCCATTCTAACGGGGGGGGGTAGCCAGGGGTGGACACTTTGGTCCTGAAAGTTACCAATGGCAGGGAGGGATTGAGGAGCAGGTTTGCACCACCCGTCCAGGCACAGTGGCAGAGTTGATATGGTGATGTAATGTGTAGTGCTTGGTGGTGGTGGCGGCAGGGGGTGGTTCCCAAGCTGTCTTCCTATGCGGAGGATAGACGTTGCTCTCCCTCCCAGCCAGACTGGCTCACTTGCTGTTTCTCATGCATCGCATTACATCTCCTGCCTCTGCACCTTCCCCTGTGTCTTCCACTTCCCACCGTCCCTTGTTCCCGTTAAGGTTCGGGCCAAGCGCCATTCCTAGGTGAGGCCTTTCCTAATCCCCACCCCCTGGCCCCCCCCGCCAGATGTTAGTGTTCTCCCCCATCCCCCAAACTGCTCTTTGTTTGCACTGGAAATGTAGTGTATGCGTTCTCTCTGTGCATGTTGCTTCCTCCCGGTGGGACGCAAGCCCTGAGCTGTTTGTCTGTGTCTCCCCGTGCCTTGGCGAGCGCCTGGCCCTGGAGCCCTGATGCTTGACCGCCCCTCCCCTGTACTCTGCTAGGAAGGTCATCAGTAACCTGTTTGTGGGCCGGGCCGGCAGCGCCATGGTGCTGTCGGGCTCCATCGCGGGCCTGGAAGGGGGTTCGCAGCTGGCGCTTCGCAGGGCCACCAGCATGCGAAAGACGTTCACCAGCGGCGTGGCCGCCGTCAAGAAGAAGTCTCTCTGTATCCAGATCAAGCTGCAGGTGGTGAGTGTGCCCTAGGGCTTTGGTCTCGGCCGCTGCGTCTCGAGGCACCCTCCTCCTTCTCCTCCTCCCCCCCCTTCCCCTGTCAGCTCAGTATCCACCCTGGAGTGACAGGGGCCTGAGGCCGTCTTGAAGCAGGGGCTCCCCGGGGTCCTAGTCCTTGATGCTCACCAGTGTGACTGGGTCACTCCCCTGCTCAACGTGCTCCTATGGCTCCCTATTGCCTCTAGGATCAAATACAAACTTCTCAGCTTGGCATTCAAAGCCCTTCACAACTCGTCCCCAGCTGACCTTCCCAGGCCATTATACTGTCCTTCATGGGGCCTGAGGTACGACCACAGAGGCCTTCTTGCTGTCTTCACACATGATGCCCAGTTTCCTGCCCTCATGCCTTTGCATGGGCTCTCTGCGTGGCCTGGAATGCGTTCCTTCTCATCTCTGCCTCTTTCAAAGCTCAGCTCGAGCTCTACTTTCTATTTCCATAGGCTCACTGAGCCAGAGAAGGCCATCTAGTCGAACCCCCTCACTTTACAGATGAAGAAACTAAGGCCTGGGGAGACTTGCCCAAGGTCACACAAGTATAAGCCTCAGAGGCAGGATTTGAACCCCAGGTCTTCTGACTCTGCTATATGTCCCATAAGACTTTTCCTGATGCTCCACCCTGCCTCAGCCAGCCTCCCCTCCCCACCATGTTACTATGTATTTACTTTGCTTATACTTTGTATCATATGCTTAGATAGAATATAAGCTTCTTGGGGGCAGGGACTGTTTCATTTTTGTCTTTGTATCTAAAGCGTCTCGCATAGGGTTTAGTGTATAGAAGGCGCTTAATGAATGCTGGTGATTTGATTGACTGAAGCTATATCCCAATCTAAGCAAGCTGGGGGCAGGGCTGGACAATGATAAGGTCCCAGTAGCATGGTGCTAGGAGGTAAGGAGTTTAGGTTATTTCCTGCCTTAGCATCTCCTAGCTACATGTTCTGGGGGCAAGTTACTGAGGCTTTTCTAGGCCTTAGTTTCCTCATCTGTAAAATGGAGCATAATCATAGCTACCTTTCCTCCCTCCTAGGGTTGTTTTGAGAATCAAAATGAGATAATGGGTGTAGAAGTGCTTTGCAGGCCATAAATCACAATATATTGAACTTTTAAATCTTGTTCTCATTCATTTTTTTTTTTGTTTCCAAATATCCAGATATAATTTCCAAATACATTTCTCACCCTCTCCTACCAAGTGAGCCATTCCCTCATAAGGACAATTTTAAAAGAAAGATGAAAAAAAAAAATTGCATTTCAGCAAAACTAACCAGCACATTAATTGTGCCTGATGGTGTATGCCACATTCCATAGCCATAGTCCCCCACTTCTGCAAAGAGCGGACATAGCAAGCAATCTTCTCCACTCTTTTCATTTTGTTTTGTTTTGTTTTGTTTGGTCTAGGCAATGGGGTTAAGTGACTTACCCAGGGTCACACAGCTAGTACGTGTTATGTGTCTGAGGCCGAATTTGAACTCAGGTCCTCTTGACTCCAGGGCTGGTGCTTTATCCACTGTACCACCTAGCTGCCCCCTTTATCCTTTATTTGTTTTGTTTTGTTTCTTGTCAAAATTCTCCCCCCCCTTTTTTTTGTTATGCAGTGGGGTTAAGTGACTTGCCCAGGGTCTCATAGCTAGTGAGTGTTATATGTCTGAGGCTGGGTTTTGAACTCAGGTCCTCCTGACTCCAAGGCTAGTGCTCTATCCACTGTACCACCTAGCTGCCCCTTCTCAACTCTTTTTGGGGGACCAGGCATGGTCCTTAGAGTCATTACACAGTGTGCTGTTACATTTTTTTAATTCTTTCTGTTTACATGGTTGGTGTTATTTTGCAGTTTCTGCTTGCTTTTCTCTATTCTTCCGAGTCCTCATTTCTTACAGCACAGTAATAGTTCCATTATTTTCCTGTGCCACAAATTTGTTTAGCCCTTCCCCAGGTGACGGGCACCTGCTTCGTTTCCAGTTCTCCACGACTAAGTGCTGGGGCCACAGATAGAAAATCGAGACAGTCCCCACGCTCAAGGAGGCCACATTTTAATTGGGGGAGACGTGCCGTAAAAGACTCGTGTTCACATTCACGTTCATGGCAGATGGAAAGGCCAGGAAGTATTTGGGCAGGGAAAGCAGTAGGGTAGATGCAAGGCCCCCACGGACCTGGAGGGCAGTGTCAGGGCGGATGGTCTTCAGCTGAGAGGATAGTAGCTCCAAGGGTCAAAGTGGGCTGTGAGATCTCCCCAGCAGATGTAGGAAGATGGGACCCAACATCCAGCTGTCAATGACTGATGGGAGCTGGGCAGCGGGACATTGAAGACTTGTCTCACCCGTTAGATTGTAAGCTCCCTGAGAGCAAGAACTCTCTTTTGCCTCTTTTTGTATCCCTGGTACTTAGTGTCGTGCCTAGCACATAGTAGGTACTCGATAAATGTTGACTGATCGATTCTCCTGGACAAAGGTAGAAGCTGGCAACGACTCCTGAGGGTCACCCGCTCTCCTTCCCTCCTGCAGGATGCCCTCATTGACACTATCAGGAAGTCAAAATTGCACTTCGTTCACTGCTTCTTGCCAGTGGCTGAGGGCTGGGCAGGTGAGCACCGCTCGGCCTCTTCCCGTCGGGTAAGCAGCAGCAGCGAGCTGGACCTGCCTCCTGGGGAGCCCTGTGAGGCTGGCCTCCTGCCGCTGGATATCCCCCTGCTGCGGGCCCAGATCCGCGGCTCTCGTCTCCTGGATGCCCTTCGCATGTATCGCCAAGGTAGGACCTTTACCCTTCTGCCTGACACCTCCCTCCCCACCTGGCTTTTCCCCTCCCTCTTCCTTTTCCTTCCTTTATTTCCCTACCCTTCCTTCCTGGCGTCTCTCTCCTCCTCCCTCCCCTAGTCCTTCCCTTTCCATCACTCTCTTCCCAGGTCCTGACTCGGCCTCACTCCTATCCCTCGCCTCCTTCTTGGTACCCCTCCTTTCTTGTTTTTCCCTTCCCAATTTCTATCCCTTCTTTCCCTCTTCCATTTCTCCTTCTCCCTGCCAGTTCTTTCTTCCTTCTCTCATGCCTCATCCCTACTTTGTCCATCCATGGTAGATGGAAAGCCGGGTAGTACTTAAATTCTGACAGGGAAAGCATCAGGACCGATGGCAAGGCCCCAAGGACCTTGGGGAGCAGTGTCCTCTGCCAAGAGGATTGTGGGTTCAAGAGTTAGAGGTTTAGGGGCAGCTAGGTGGCACAGTGGATGGAGCACCGGCCCTGAAGTCAGGAGGACCCGAGTTCAAATTCAGCCTCGGGCCAAACACTTGACACTTACTAGCTGTGTGACCTTGGGCAAGTCACTTATCCCCAGTTGCCTTAAAAAAAAAAAAAAGAGGTTTAGAAAGGAATTGGGCTCTGGGATATCGCCATCAGAGCTAGAGATGTGGGGGAGCAGTGTGGGGCTGACAGTCGGCATCCTGCCCCTGGGGGGACCCTGCTGGCTCTCTCTCTTCCTCCTTCCTTTACGCTTCCCTTTCCCAGGTCATCCTTCCCCTACTTCGTTTTACCCCTCCTTTCTTTTCTCTTTATCTTCCTAGGTCTTGTTTTTCTCTCCCCTGCTTCTCCCTATCCCTGTTTGTTCTCTTCTCTTCCTTCTCTCTTTCCTCATCACCCCACCTCCTTCCTTCGTCACTCTTGTCCCCTATTCCCATCTCTCCTCCCTGTCTCTCCCAGTGTAAAGGATCAATGTCATTCCAAAGCTCAGTAACTTCACTCCGGATTTCCAGTGACAATAGTTGACCTAACTAGGGTCCTGTGGATTGGAGCTGTCTCTCAAGTCAGTGGGTGTTGGTGGGTCAGATTCTAGCAGCGAATAAGGGGGGAAAACCTGTCTCTAAATAATTAAAATTCTTCAGAAAGGTCAGGTAGATGCTGCCCTGTTTAGTAATCCCTTGGAGTGGTGGGGGGTGGGTGGGTGGGTGTGGACAAAGGAATTTGTTTGTTCGAGGTGTTTCCCTTTTGCCTTTGCTCAGGTCTGAGTGGGCACGGGCAAGTAGGTTCCCCAGTCCAGGGGCTAAGGTCGTCCTTAGCCTTCTGACGTCATGGGTTCAGAGCTGTAGAGGTAGAAGGATCCTCGAGGAGCATCTGGTCCAACCCCCTCATTTACAGAGGCAGAATCTGAGGCCCGGGAGGTGATGGGACTTGTTTGAGGCCACACAGCTGGTAACTTCACAAGTGGCTTTTGAACCCACCCACTGCGGGCCGAGGGAGGTGCGAGTGCGTCTCTCCACCATACCATTCATAACCCTTCTCTCAGCAGCCTGGGCCTCAAGACAGGGACTGCCTTTACTGCTCTGAATAAATCATTGATCTGTCCCCATGTCTTGATATGGAGTTGGTGTTTATTATTTCAAAACCAGATTGTTACCGCGCTGAACCAAAATCAATGTACTTTACTCAAACAAGCGGGTCGATGAGGCTGGCGGCAAAGGGGGGCCTCCCTCCTCCTCCTGGGGCCTCGTGAACCATCCATCGTGCTGATGATTAATTAAGATGCGGGCATCTGCACCCGCTCTCCCAGCCCATCAATTTAATTGCAGTTCAGATACAATCAATAGCTTGCTCCATCCTAGCCCCTCCGAGGACCCTGGCCTCCCGTTTCAGTTATCAGGCACATGCATCAGCCTCATTCCCAAGTTGGATGGCTGCCCAGCGCCAATTGTGAGCTCCAGGGCGGCTTACCTGCCCGCCTGTGCTCCTGCCCCCGCTGGCATCACGCTCACAGGGTCCGGTTTCCTCCACACTCTCACACCGTTCTCCATCAGAACCAGTGGAGGTTCCTGGCTGTGTGACCTTAGATACCGGGTGTGACTTTTAGGGGTTGCCTTGCCCTTTCCACTGCCTCTAATTGGGGCTAAATCCTAAAAAGGAGTGAGAAAGTCCAGACCGATCCCTGTGGACGAGTGTTCCACAACCTGTTTGGGTTGGCTAGGCTAGGAGCCAAAGCCTCCTGGGAAGGCCTTCCTGAGGTCCAGCGTCAGTCTTTCCTCCTGCACTGTAAGCTTACTTCCTCCTCGGTCCTTAATAAATATGGAAGGTAACGCATCATAATCCCCCACTGCTTAACCTTAGATCCATGATGTTTTTAAAAAAAAAAAACCAACAAAACATTTTTAATAGTTATATTTTAATAGAATTGGTTTCCTTTGTTAGCATATGTATTTTATGCATTTAAAAGCATTATTCATGAGGGAGTTGGATTACATGACCTCAGAGGTCTCTTCCAGAGCACCTGTAAAGGCAGAGGTTCTGGGTTCAAATCTCACCCCGGGTACTTGATACCTCTTTGACCTTGGGTGAATCTCTTCTTTGCCTCCACGGGCCTCAGTAGAGGGCGTTAGACCAGCCAGGCTCTGAGGGCCCTCTCGGCTCCAGGCTCATCTCCTCCCACACCAGGGCACTGCCTCTCCAGTGTGTTCCAGGCAGGCATGACCTTGATGTCAATATGGCCCCTGTTCTCTTCTTCCATCTAGGGTATCCTGACCACATGGTGTTCTCGGAGTTCCGGCGACGTTTTGACATCTTGGCACCCCACCTCACCAAGAAGCATGGGCGCAACTACATTGTTGTGGATGAGAAAAGAGTATGTTGTTTTCCTCATTGTTTGTCCCCTTTAGGGGTGTGTCTGACACCCCGAGACTCACTTTCCCCCCCACGGAAGGGGGTCCCGTCTGCTCATCTCGGTTTGTTGAAGGCACAATAGGAGAGGCCCAAGATGCGGGCTAAGCATTTGGTTAGAGGCACTGGGAAGAGAACGGGAGAACCTTGTTGTCTCCGGTGGGCAGTGATGAGGTCGGCCTCTTTTCCTCCGAGATGTGGAAAACCCATCGAAAAGTGTGTTGTGTTCTCCCCTGTCAGAACCGATATCTCCAATGTCCTGCTGATTGATAACTGAACTCTGTGGGCCTGCGCTGAGCGTCAGTTGCCCTGGTTTCTGTAGCAAGCAGGACAGTGGCGTTCGGGCATCAGGCCTAAGGGAGAAAGTCTGATGCTTCAGGGCCTCTGACATGGGCCTTTAGGGACAGCGAAACCAGAAATCCCCTCTGAAGGCCTAAGTTTGGGCTCAGGGTCTTGAAGTGACCAGCCACATGGAAGGGATAAGATGCATGGGACAGGGGGAAGGCATAGTGCCTGGCTCACAGTAAGTGCTTAATAAATGCTTGTGACTGATTCTGAAGTCAGATGACCTAGGTTCAAATCTTTCCTGTGATGCTTACTGTCTCTGTGATTCTGGGCCAGTTATTTAACCTCTCTGTGCCTTAGTTTCCTCCTCTGTGAAATGAGATGTAAAATGGACTACATGGTCTCTGAAATTCCTTTCAGCTGTAAATGATCCTATCCATCTATCAGTCAATCAGCAATCATTTACTAAATACGTACTGTGTGCCAAGCACTGGGCTAAGTGTTGGGTGTACAAAGAAATGCAGAAGCCATTCCTGCCCTCCAAGGACCACCCCCCACTCTCCAGCCCTGGGAGGCACCAGTCGGGGCTCCCCTGTGGCTGGCACCTTGCAGACTCTGATGGCCGACTTACCATGAAGGCCGGCCTCTGGCTTTACCCCCCCAAAATGCATTGATGGGCCCTGGAGCACCTTGGCTGAGGGAGGGAGGGGCCCCGTGTTTAGATGACAAGAAGTCCCATCTCTCTGCTCTTAGTGCCTTCATGTGCCCCGCTCCCCCACTGCACTGCCTTCCTTTGCTGGCAGAGCCCCCTCCTTCCCAGAGTGGGGGTCAGGGTACCCTGATAGCTTCCACCCTTTCTCTCCAGGCAGTGGAGGAATTGTTGGAGTCCTTGGACCTGGAGAAAAGCAGCTGCTACATGGGCCTGAGTCGGGTAAGCTGACCCTAGAAGCTTGATAAGATCCCCCACCCCCGATGCTACTCTCTCTGCCCTCCTTTCCTTCCCCTTAGCCGTTCTGTCTCGCCAGCAGCATCCCCCGCCCCTCGCTTGCCCTGTCCTCAGGAGTGCCCAGGGAACAGCTTCCACGTCCTGCCCGTGTATCTGAATAACTGGATTATCTGGTGCCTTGAGAGCAGTCTGTGATGTCAGGCGAGAGTGGGCACAGGGCAACCTTGAGCCTGGGCTGAGAAAGGAGGCAGGAGATAGAGGAGAAGCTAGGCTCGGGAAAGGGGAAGAGGGTGACAGCATGGTGCCCCAGAGGACAAAGCCCTCTTTGCCTGAGCTGGCTGGGCACCGTGGTTGCCGGGGTCCCACAAGCAGGCGGGACAGGAAGAAGCCTGTGCGGCTGCCTTCCCACAGGCTGAATTCCTCATGTGGATGGAACGTGTTGGGTAAAAGGCTGGGCACGCCCGCCCCCGGGTGCCAGTCTGCCGCCTTCCCTCCTCGTCAGAGAGCCAGCTGCCTGCCCTTTGCCTAGCACTGACCTGCCCATCGTCCTCCAAGTATGTGGGCCAGGGGGCCGGGGGCAGGAGGTGGGCAAGCCAGGAGCCGGAGGAAGAGGGGCCTAGGACCGCCTTCCCAAGGCCCGGGGGGGAGGAAAGTCCTGACACTGGGGATCTGTCCAGAGCCGAGAGTGGCATTGAAGGGGATAGTAATGAGGGAGCTTGGCAAGGGGTGTGTGTGTGTGTGTGTGTGTGTGTGTGTGTGTGTGTGTGTG